ACTATATATATATATATATATATATATATATATATATATGAGATAAGTCTCTGATATATTATATATCCGTCTAAAAAGTTTCCTAATAAAAGCTACTGGAACGTCGTTTTATCAAATTACTTCAATCTACAAGATGCTTTTGATGTTTGGCAATGTGAAAAGCACGCAATTAATCAACGAGAGCTTTATGTTAAAAGAGAATAAAATGATCGCTTATCAGTGTGGTCGCAATACTCTTGTCGGAAAATATGCGATATCACCGTGAAAACAGTCTATAAATAAGATGTTTTGAACTATCAACCGAACTTTCTAGCGCAGAGGGGAAAGGCAAAAGACATCTCTGAATCGATTTATTTCATCAATATCCTTTCCTTTTTTTCATCGGGAAATGACTTTGATATCAACGCTGCTACAACATAATTTGCCTCTCCACACAAACTCATAAATCAACTTGTTACATAAATTTGTAGACTAAACAATTTCCGTGCGATAGTACAGTGCCGGTCTTAGTTAGTTATAAAAAAAAAAAAAACAACGGTACAGAAGGAAGGCATTAAATGTCCACTGTCGACGCTTAAGGCAACGATCGGTATTTTCGAGGCGTACGACGATGGCATGGAATATTACAGGTTGACCGAGGTGGGGAACGGTGACTATTCTCTCCGCCACACAGAGATATAAGCACGTTTGTCAATGCCAAGGTTCACATATTCTACGTAATCGAACCGGCGATAATGATAAAACCACCACTTGCCTCGGATACGATACCCACCTGAGTTACGGAAAAAAATCCTTCTCGACCTCGTTTCAACCAAAATAAGACCTGCGTAAACTCCGGAATACTTAAGCACCACATAAGGGTACACTGCGATCGAACATGATCGATGATCGACAACAAAGGTCTCAAGAGCAAATTTCAAACTTTTATTTATTTAGAATCTTGACACGCGAGCTCGAATATGATATAATTTTAGGAGTAAATTTCTTGGAATGTATATCCCTACTTCGAAAAATAAGTGAAAGCAATTTTTGTTAAGAAAAGGCAAAAAGAACAAATCGATGTAATAAGAATATATTCAGAACATAGAGCAGATAGAGAATATAGAGCATTATTCGACGAGCAAGATCTTAAGCACTTAATAATCTCATTTTTAATGTTTTTTAAATATATATATATATATATATATAAATTCAAAATAATTGCGTACATCGCAGAAATGTTATAAAATTGCAAAAGAATTGAAAAAATTTTAATTTAAATAAATAAGTTGCGAGTATTTGCTCATTGTGATGCAACAGCATCGTATTGTAGTCAATTAAACAATAGAAAATATTCTAACGCTAGTAGGATATTTCGTTAAACATAGATAATTCTTTTTGCAATGTAATAATCGGTTATTTTGAAAAATTTTCATACAAAAGAATCTCCACGATTAAAACGATGTGTGTTTTCTTTTCCGACGTATGAACGATCTCTATTACAAGACCAGGATTACATGAAGCATCGAATTGCAATTGCAGCGAAATATCAGATTGTTATCGTACCTATCGTTATCAATGAGGAGACTCACCTTCCGTGATAGCAGACCGGCTGTGGGGGTGCGATCATTGGGGTCCGATTCGGGAATCGGCTCGTTTGGGTTATCCATGTGCATGCCCGGCCATCCTACCCAGACTCCATTTCCGCTGATGACAACCGGTGCTACCGCGGTTACCAGACCACCGGCACTGTAAAGAAAAAAAAGAGAGAAATTTACAAAAACACACAGACGAACAAAAATAAACAGCTCGGAAGTGGATTAAGATGAGAGCAAGATTTGAAATTTGATGGAAAAATATTTATTGTCAAAATACCTCTTGCAAGATTCTGCGGTAAAATTAGATTCGGGAAGAAATT